AGCCCGCTGCTTGCCACATCTTGCAAGGGCCTAGTGCTGATGGAGAGGGGCCTAGGACTGGAAAACAAAAGCTCCAAAAGGTTGATCCGGAGAAATCATTCTTGGGGATGAAGGAAGACCAGAGACCTTGGACTTCCAAGGTTCGCTCCCTAACTGCAAAAAATTCATGTATACCACTACAAAGGTTGCCAAGAGATAAGAACTACCTAGCAGTCTGTTCCAAACATACACCTAAAGTGGGAAATTGAATGAGAGATACATTTTGTCCATGGAAGTCAGTAATGCTGACAGAGACCTTGAAGTAACAGCAGACAGCAAAGTAGAGGAATCACAGTATGAGTCTACAACGTATCATGAGTTTGCAACAGGAAATAGGTCCAATGTAATTTTCAACTGTTTATACAGAGAAGTTCATCACGATGCAAAGAGGTAATAGTCACTCCATACAGCTCTGCTATAATTCGTCATTCTAAACGCCTCCATTACCACAAAGATATTCATAGCTTAGCGAGAGTTTAGAAAAAAGCAATTAAAATGGTGAGAGCGCTGACGGGATGACATATGAAGATAAGATGATCAGTAAAGCAGAGATTAATAGGAGACTTGATAACTTTCCAAAAGTATGGAGAGTATAAATACTAATGAGAGAAAAGAATTATTAAGGGTGCTAGAATGAGGTATAACTAGGAATAATGGGATAAAATTAAGAATGAAAAATTTTCTGCCTAAATTTTCCTAAGAGTGAGATCTGTAGGACTGAATAATAAAAGCCCAAGGGATATGCTGAAAGTCTCATCACTTAAGACCTTCAAAAAGTACACAGGATGAAGCACTAGTAATTATGCAACAAGGGAATAATCTTCCAATAGCAAGGAGTGAAGTAGTTCAAATAGGTCTTTTCTATGTTCAATTTCTATAATTCTGGGAATCATAATCCATGGTCTTTAATCTTAATTCTTTAAACAAAATATTGTGCATCCCCTGTTTTGAAAATAGATTACAGACTGTGCATCAAATAGTCTATATTCTGAAAATCCAGTAAGTGTTTTTTAAGCAAAGTTACTTAAAATTAATTTAGAATTTATGGAACGTGTCATGTTCATAGCACTCAGAACTAGATCCACAGGGCAAAAGCAATATAAGTTTGCTGGTCTACCAACATATTTCAAAACTGTTCTAAGGGTACTGTCTCTATAGTTGAGAAGGTAGTTCAGTCTTCATGTTCATTCAGTCTTTGGCCTCTCTGCTGAGAATGCCAACATTAGAAATTAGCATCTTTTTAAAAATTGAAACTGGATTGAGACCACAAATTCATCCCACAGGATACCAGCAACTAATCAGATGGCAATTGTTTGTCACTACCAACCTGGGCTGCATTCAGAACAAGAAGCTCAAGGTGAGAAAAGCAAAATGCTATCCTTTCTGCTGGAGCCACCCACTTCAAATTTCAACGTCAATAGGCTTCATGTGATTAGACCCAAAAATTATTCTCTTGTTGCTACACAAAATGGAAAAATACTTTACTATATTTCTTAGACCACATAATGAGTGTGTAGAAAAATCTTTCACAACCTTTCAATGTTACACATCATCAATGTTGACTGTTAAAAATTAGATGGAAGTGTTGTTCTATTAATATTTCTACTTCTCCAAATCAGTGTTCCTATTCTAAATATTTTCCCCTCACTCTTAATCTCAGTTTACCTTTCTGTAACAGACAGCAAAATATTTAGCCAACTTTAGTTAAAATTTAGGCTTCACTGCTGCCTAGTTGCAAATTGTAAAATGAGGATTTCCTCTTGATTAGATGGGTAGTGCAAAAATAGTTTATCTGTAAATGACTTTTTTTTCCTTAGTGACTATGTTCTTTTTCCTACCATTTTTACACTTTTTGTGGGGTAAGGAAACTTTGCAAAGACAGGATAAATGTAACAAGTAGCAAAATGACCATCTGGGAGACAGAGTCCCGGGTATACAGTAACAAACACTGAATGGTATTCCAGTGGTTTTTCCATAAACAAGGCAAATATCACTAGCTGTTGGTCCTAAAGCAGTGTCATTCAGATAAACAAAAATCACATGCCTGATTGGATTCTGTTGACATCACTCATCTGCATCAAAGAGCTTTCTGACTACCCCACTTCTTATCTGTACTGCTTTAAAACCTCTTAACAATCATGGTTTAGTACTGCATTTCATTTTTTTTTTAAGTTACTCATTTTGTGAAATTTCTTTTGACGATATCTGAACAAAAACAGAAGTGAATACCTTTTGATTTAGTACAACAGAAGTACTTGTTGACTGTACAAGATGAAGGGAGTAATTCTGATTTCTAAAGCAATAGGAGCAAAGCATCCTTGTAAGTATGAAGTGTGTTATCCTAGATCCTCATTCTAAGATGCTATACTTCATTTCCTATTTAGATTAGAACATAAAGAAGCTTCAGGAAGTGAAGAATACAAATAAGATTGTTTTCTTTATATGTAAAATTTGTTTAAATTGGCTATTCATTTTGCTTATTTTCTTCCAGCTTTTAGAACCGATACTTCATTCAATTTTTTAACACATGGCACAGTAGTTCATTAAAGATGAACTTATCAAGTAAAATTAAACTGAGTTAATTACAGATGTATGTTTGTCATAAACATACAGCTACGGGTAGCATAAAATCCTTCCTTTACCTGTAAAGGGTTAAGCTCAAATAACCTGGTTGGCACCTGACCAAAAGGACCAATAAGGGAAGAAGATACACCTCTATCCCAATATAACACGGTCCGCGGGAGCCAAAAAAATCTTACTGCGTTATTTGTGAAACCGTATTCTATCGAACTTGCTTTGGCCCCCCTGCTCCTTGTCCCCTGACTGCCCCTCCTCCAGAGACCCCCCCCGTCCTTTGTCACCCCCAAGATCCCACCCCCACCCAACCCCCCTGCTCCCTGTCCCCTGACTGCCCCGACCCCTATTCACACCCCTACCCCCAGACAGGCACTCACCAGCAGCGGCGGGAAGCGGAGCAATGTGGCCCCAGCTGCTCTGCTCAGCTTCCCGTCGCCGGTGAGTGCAGGGAGGTTGAGGAAAGGACGCCCCCCCCCACTCACCGGCAGCGAGAAGCGGAGCGCCACGGCTGGGAGCTGGTGGAATGGAGTGGGCTGGGGCCGGGCTGCTCCACTTCCGCCGCTGCCAGTGAGTGCAGAGTGGGGGGGAGGAGAATCCCCAAACCCCCTCCCCCAAGCGACATGACTGGGGCCGGGATGAGGGAAGTGGAGCAGGCTGCTCCCAGCCCCCCACTATTCACCCAGGACACTCTGGGCCTGCAGGGCCCCCAAAAGTGCCCCCCCACAGCTCCTGCCTCCCAGACCCTGCTTTACCGCGTTGTATGCGAACCTGCGTTATATTGGATCACGCTATATCGGCGTACAGGCGTACTTTTAAATCTGTGGGAGAAGGTTTTTGTTTGTGCTCTTTTTGTGTTCTCTCCAGGACAGAGAGGGACCAGGGCAGGAAAAATACATCTCCTAAAGCCATATCTGAAATAAGCATCTAAGATTACAAATTGTAAGTAATAGCAAGGAAATGCATTAGGTTATCTTTTATTTTAGCTTGTGAATTTTCCCTATGCTAAGAGGGAGGTTTATTCCTGTTTTTTGTAACTTTGAAGTTTTGCTGAGACGGGAATCCTTTAAATCTTATTACCCTGTAAAATTACCTTCCATCCTGATTTTACAGAGGTGCTTCTATTACTTTTTTCTTTATAACAAAGTTCTGTTTTTAAAAATCTGATTGGGTTTTTAGTGTCCTAAAAACCCAAGGGTCTCGTCTGTGCTCACTTTGGTTACTCTCAAGCCTCCCCAGGAAAGGGGGTGAAGAGGCTTGCGGGGATATTTTGGGGAAACAGGAACTCCAAGTGTTCCTTTTCCTATATCTTTATCTAACTCACTTGGTGGTGGCAGCGATACTGTCCAAGGACAAGGAAGAATTTGTGCCTTGGGGAAGTTTTTAACCTAAGCTGGTAGAAATAAGCTTACGGGGTCTTTCATGCGGGTCCCCACATCGGTACCCCAGAGTTCAGAGTGGGGAGGGAACCCGGACATATGTGTTGGATTTTCCTAGCCCTCGTGTGGGCAGCATTCAATTTAGAAATAAATCATGAAAAAAATGTACCTAAACTTAGTTTTTCTCACTGAAAAAGTCTTCTGACAATTTCTAGTGCACTGAAGACAATTCCTAGTGCACCCATAATGCATCATTCTGTGACATCACTAATATGATAAGTTGCAACTGGTCTCCTGATTATTAGGTCACAGAAAAATGCATTCTGAAATATCTTCAGTGAACTCAAAAATGCTATAAAAGGCTCAGTATTTTGTGGGAAGACCTATTACAAAAAACTGAAAACTTTTTTTGTGTGTTGAATATACTTACTCTCTCTTCTTCACACACACAAGCACCAGTTTACTGGAGATTAATTAATTACATGATTTTGTGCTAAAGTATTAGTTACGGCCCAGATCCTGAAAACACTCACAAACGTGTTTCCGTACATTAGTAGTCAGTCCCATTGAATTTAAGAGGACTAATTACATGAATAAATGTTTGCAAGACCGGGGCATAACGGTTTACCTTACTTAATATACTGACAATTCATATAACAATAAATTCAAAGATGTATAATATAAATATTATTTGCAACATAGATTTATAAAATAAATCAAGCCACAGTAGAAAGGCGGTTGGAAGACAATTTTTTTCTTATTCCAGTAAGTTGTAAACTCTTTGTAATGCTTGCAAAGGCAGATTTGTACAGAAAAAAATATATATTAAAAAAAATAAAGAAACCACCCGTGTATCGTGCACACTTTCTACAAATGGGATAAAAGCAGAAACTATCTAATTTCTCCATTTCACATTTGGTATCTGTTTAATTGTCAGTTCACAGTGGTTTAATGGAACTTTGGTAACTGCAGTATTCATCAAGGCTAGTTTTTTGGACAGCATCTCACCTGGTCTGTTCATCACTCCAAGCGATTCTCATGCCTTTCCCACCACCACCTGCTGAGGCCTTGATCATGACAGGGTAGCCTAACATTGGGGAACAATTAGACAGAATTTCAAACTTTGATCGGTTGCTCATATGAACATGACAACTGACCACATGTCCAATAATGTAGCAGACAACAACTGGTTTATTAAAAAAGGTTTGTTTGGCGAGAGAAGAGATTTTTTTTTCTTTTTTGAGACTATATTGTCAATACAGTACATTTGTGATGCCATGAGAAAGTGGTTCTCTCTATTTCATTTAATACCCCCAAAATACTGAGTAAACAGAGTCCCCGAGTGGCAAAGTGGTTTATGAGAAAAGGTATGTTTGTCATTTCTGACTTAACTTTACTCTTCTAACAAATTTTGTTACCTTTCTTCTGTTGAAATACAGCGGACCCTTGCTAGAGCGTGCATCACTAGAGCGCGGATTCGCATATAGTGCAGTTGCAGCGATGGATCCCAAATTTAAACATTTAAATTGGGATCCATGGTAACGCTGCCCCCGCTATAATGTGGTACCGCGCATGGATCCCGAACCCCATGTTCTAGCAAGGGTCCAGTGTAAGTATTTTCACTGATGAAGATAAAACATACATACTTTACTAGCAGAAATAGACAGGAGGTGTTTCTATGCTATTGGTCAAAATGGCCAGCAACTTATGTATTCAAAGGCCTTGGCCAATAGTGCAGTACATTTATTTGACATCACAAAAGAGCCGTGCTGCACTCACATTAGAACAAGTGAATAAAAAATACTAACAATTATATACCAATAGAAAGTAACAGAAGTAATTTCCCAAAACTGATGTGATACAAATATTAAATTAAAAAACAAAATCTAACACCCCTGCTCAGACTGAGTAGTATTTTACTCCCAGAGTAAGGTTAACTTATTATGAATTTTTCAATTTGGCTGTAAAAGTTTTCTGAATGTTAAAAAGAAAGAGAGAAAGAAATTAGTACATGTAGCATAACTATTAGGGATTACAATTACTTTCCAGAGGTCATTTCTTAATTGCATTGATTAATCTGCCTCTCTCTCAACTACCAAATGTCCCACAGATTAGTGTAAGGATCAGATTGGAATAGCTTCTAAGATAGTCTGATATTTTCAAAGACAGGAAAAAATCCACAACCATGTGTGTGTCACAGGGCTGCAGGTATAGTTTATGAGGATGCTAATTAGAGCAAACTCTAACCCTGCTGACTTGTCTTGGCACTAAAACCATGATCTGTCCTTGCAAAATGAAGATTTGTTTCTATGCATGACTGCTTTGGAAAGCTCACTATTTAAGAGATTTGGGGATGATAGTGAATATTTGGATACATGTCAAAATAGGGACGTCCAAATCAACCACGTTAACAAATTTCACTGTAGTTTTTACTGTTTACTTATTTAGCTCTATGAATTGTGAATAGTTTTACCCCTCACTTTTCAAACAGTTCACGTCTATTTAATTTCAAAGGGATTCAAGGGAAGGCCGGTAAAAATAATTGTATTTGAAAAAACTTACACATAAAGAGAAATTGGGAAGACTTGAGTTTTCTTCCTTTGAAAGGAGGTGAATAAAAGTGGAGATGATAAAACCATACAAATTAATGAAGGGTCTAGGGAAGGCAGATTGGAAGTTTCTGAACTTTCCTGCCTCATAAAAAAAATAAATAGGACACTCAATTAAACTGAGGTGGCAAATTCAAAATGGATAAAAGAAAATACTTTCCAAAAGCATAATTTAACTGTGGAACTCCTTGCCACAGAACATCAGTGAGGCCAAAAATTCAGCAAGATTCAAAAAGGGATAAGACATTTTTATGGCTGAAAAGAATATCCACCAGAGTTATCATTGTTAAGTCTAAAAAACGATATTGGAAGGGATATAAAACCTCATTTTAAAACCTTATACTTCAGGCCTTTAGCTAATATCTAACTATTAGAGATTAGATGAGCCCTATTGTGGGGAGCAGATTACCCTACATCTGCCTACTGTGGATTTCTTACTCCATTCTCTGAAACATCTGGTGCTGACCACGGTCAGAGACCGCATATTGGACAAGATGGAGCATAGGTCTAATCCAGTACAATTATGATGTTTCAATCTAATATTAAAAATAAAAATTTATATTATGTGCTCCATAGTAATACCACTTGAAGCTTGAAAAAGTTCATCATCTTACCAATAATGCTAATCATTTGAGCCTGGTATAACACATTATGTTATTCAACTGAATAACTCATTGATTTTACTCATACACAGTCATTATAAAAATAATTATAATTTTGCTGACATTCACTTCTGGGGGGAAATAAGGTACACTGTTTATATATTATAAAACACATAAATCACATCTCTCAACCAAAGTTGGCTAAACTGGGTTACTTAACAAAAAATGTACAGGAGGCTTGTTATTGGTATGACCCGTTGAGTTTTGCAGCACTTTACTGCTGCTTTTTGGTAATTTTATGTGTATTGATTTCATATTAGCTGTACATGTACATAAGGTGGCAAATCAAGACTATAAAAAAAACCAGCACACATTTTATAAAGAAAGAGTTTCAGTATACACATACAACTTTCCATGGTAAGGGAGAAAATTTCTGCAGTCAACTCTTTTTATGCCTTCCGAGAGAGCATTTTTATTAGATAGTTATCACACTTCGGCTTTGTCTGCATTTGGAAAAATGACAAAACGCAGCAATGGTTTCTCCCTATCCTCTCTCAGCTGGTATTGAAAACAATTTAAGTCATAGACCAAACAGAACAGTATTGACAAACCCAGATAATAGACCCATGTTTGACTTCTGTGTTAGAACATGATTCAAACAGGTCTCCCATTGAAATATTTTCTCACAGTTTGGCCAGATAGAGAACTGCCTATTCCCTACTGTTACAACAGGGTTCAAAAGCAGTATTTGAGAGGTATGCTGAAATGAGGATGGCAAAAAATGATGGGGAGAAAAGGGCATCCAACCTTTTTCAAATTTCAAGAAAATCTGTATGTGAATTTTGAGCAGAGGTTGAGTCCTATTTTATGTGAATGCATCAACCATTCCCTTAGACATATGGCCCTTGAAATTTAAATTAGAAATCATTCAAGTGTAAAGACAGCAAACATTAAAAATAATATAGAATAAAATAGGGCCAACATTTTCAAAATTGTGTGTTTAAGATTAGTTTCCTAAATACATAAGCAAAAAAAAAAAAAATATAGCCTGCTTTCAAAGATGCTAAGCACACTAGCTGCCTTCCACTTTAACAGAATTTGTTGGGTGTTTAGCTTTTCTGAAAAACCAGAGAACTTTCATGTGTGTGTCTACATATGGCGTTAAGAATGATCATACTGGCCTTGGGTCAAGGAGAGAGCTGATGTCCCAGGGGGCCCTTTTGTTATTTGGCAAACCTGAGAGGCCTGCCAGTCCTGCTATATAGAAGATGAGGATCCCTTCGCTGGGTTTAGGAGGTTTTGTGTATCTGCTGGGGGAAAGATGCTGAGGGCATTAATTATCATTATCCTAGTCAATTTTGCATTGATGGCCTGCATCTCTCAGACATTGGCTACAGTCTCAATAACTGAATATATGCACATGGATTAAAGATTGGCTGGATTTTTTATTGTTGCTAAATTCAAAACTCAAAGCTAATAGCATTTACGGTAGGTAGTATGTTCTGGCAGCAAGGATTAGATTAATCTCCCAGGTAGGGGTAAATTATTTGAGCAGGGTTCAGTCTTCTCTTTCCCACAGATTAAGCACCAATTTACCTTCCGGTGCCTAAATTTGGATTCATGAGTTTACCCAACTCTTGGTGCAAAGTTTGGTGCTTTTCCTGGTGCATTAGAATTCACGGGATTGTACACCTGTCTGGGTCTTGGAAATATACAAGCCTTTTTGCCTAATTTAAACAGAGTCTGGTAGACTTTTGATGCTGTATAAAATAAGTAATATTGTCATCATTAAGTTGGTCTGTTCTCTCTTTACACAGTTAAGCATATTCAGTATTTGAGTATCAAAAGGGGTCAGCAAGGGCTTGCGATGGTTCCCTATTGCTGTTACTTCCCAGTTTTCATCATTGCCAGCACATCTTATCAGGTATTATTTTATTAAATTATTTTTATAAAGTAGTAGCCTCTGGACCATAAACTATCTGTCCAGCAATATCAGAGTCTGTTTTCAGTATCTATTTTAAGCAACATTAAATATCAGCCAGCTATAAGTGAACTGAAACATGACAATAGCATGTTTTCCAGCTACTTTGTTTTATACTGGCTTTGGTTCTTGTTTTTTTTTTTTTTTTCACTAGCATGGCAAGATACCAAGTGAAACTTACTAGATCCTGATCATGCTTCAAAGATCAGGACTCTAGTAAGTTTCAATTTGCGACTTACAGTTTGAATAGATGGAACAGCCAGAAGATTACCCAAAAAAAGAAAATCCCTGCTGGTTTCACATCACTGCCTGTACGTCACACAGAACAGAACTCTTCAGAATGGAGCAGTAGGAGCAGAGAGAAGAGTAAAGCAAAAATGGACCACAACGACAAAAAAAGAAGGGAAAAGGAAGACTGACAACCCATCAGAAGTGATGGGAGAGGAGAATTAAAAATACTGTAAAAATGGTAAAGGAGTAGAGCTAGTGAGATTATATATTGCAGAAAGGACAATGGGAGAAGTAAAGCTCACACAGAAAAGTATGGGGAGAGGGAACACGCAAACAATAAGAGGAAAGAAGAGATGACATAGAACATATCCTAATTTTTGGGGAGTAGGGTAGGAATGGCAGGGTGAAGGAAACAAAGAGAACACTACACCAATTAAAGGGGGGAAAGAAACAAATTCAGCTCACTTATAATTGGACAACAAAATGTATTTTTCTTTCCTTTAAGCTATATTTATAATGATAACCTTGTCTTAGACAGTTACAGGCAGTACCACATAGAACATTGATGATGCATGCTACACAGCCAGTATTGCTAATGAACAGCCAGTCAGAATGCACCATTGAGGAGCAGGAAGTGAAATCAGCAGAGGGCATTACTTGGAATGCTAAAATCATTGATCATGCATTCCAACTGACATCAGAACAATTTTTTATTTACAATAACTATCTCAAAGACATTCTTAGAAAAGCAAGACTGTTTGGATGAACACAGTTAAAGGTAACCTGAAAATATTGTAAATAAATTCCAGGTGCCCCAAACAGCAAAAGGGTACAGGTGCATTACACACATTCGAGATTCCGGTTGTATCCTGTTTTCTCGTTTTAGGTCCCCTAATAACACAGATCACTAGCTCACACTCTGATATGATGCACCCCACTTAACCGTGTTGAGAACTATACATCACCTTAGAAACCTCAGTGAAGTCCAACTATTTGAGCTGGTGGAGGAAACATGAAAAGTGGCTTTTTTTCTTTCAATATACAGCATGATTCGGCAAACTTTTTAAACATAATTTTTAAAACTAGCCAGAGACAAAGAAAAAAAATGCTACCTGCATAACTCCCTATAACTGTCTCCAATGCCCATCAAGGTTAACAGGTTGAAGTGATACCATCAGCCTATTGGGACAATCATATCAGAAAAAGGAACAGGTCAGGAGGACATCAGGGGGCCGAAAATGAAAAATAAGTGAGAATAAGTTTTACAAGTCATGTGGAATGCACCGCTGCCCCTTGCTATTTGTGTCACTCAAAATACTCAGTTAATTTACAAAAACACTTGTAGATAGCCTTTTAGATCAGTGGTTACAAATCCCACAAAAACAAAACTGCAAGTCAAAATATACAAATGAAGCTGAAAAGATGTATTTAATTAATTTTTTTAAAAGGGTTCCATGCTATAAAACAGCAATTTTATTTAACAACTTGTCCTACTAAAATTTTAGCATGGCTAGCAACCTTGTCTTCCTTTCATTTCTGCTTGAATGACAGTGAGTGATAAGTCTTTAGACTTGAAATTAGATGAAGGTTTCTAACCGTCAGAGGAGTGAAGTTCTGGAACAGCCTTCCAAGGGAAGCAGTGGGGGCAAAAGACTATCTGGTTTCAAGATTAAACTCGATAAGTTTATGGAGGAGATGGCATGATGAGATAACATGATTTTGGCAATTAATTGATCTTTAACGATTCATGGTAAATAAGCCCAATGGGATGTTAGATGGGGTGGGATCTGAGTTACTACAGAGAATTCTTTCCTGGGTATCTGGCTGGTGAATCTTGCCCACATGCTCAGGGTTCAGCTGATCGCCATATTTGGAGTCAGGAAGAAATTTTCCTCCAGGGCAGATTGGAAGAGGCCCTGGGGGGTTTTCGCCTTCCTCTGCAGCATGTGGCACGGGTCACTTGCTGGAGGATACTCTGCACCTTGAAGTCTTTAGACCACGATTTGAGGACTTCAATAGCTCAGACATAGCTGAGAGGTTTCTTGCAGGAGTGGGTGGGTGAGATTCTGTGGCCTGCATTGTGCAGGAGGTCAGACTAGATGATCATAATGGTTCCTTCTGACCTTAATATCTATGAATCACCTGATCTCACAACAGTGACGTAAAAGCTAGCCAAAAAAAATGCTGAATTTAATTTTGCCATCCTAATTTACAACTTGTCTACACCTGAGATTTTGGTGCAGTTAAACTAGTGCAATATAGTTGCATCAGTGAAAATTCTCAGTGGGAATGCACAGTACTGGTATAAAAGTGTTTTTCAGCCCCACAAATTATCCCAGTTTTAAACCAGTCTAAGGTGTGACAACACTAGTCACCTTTTGCACTGGTGAAGTACATGCATCCATAGTAGGGGTTCGTGTTGGAGTAGCTACACTGTTAAAAAAAAAAAAAAAAAAAAAAAACAGCCAAGAAACCCTCTTTAAGCGACAAATCCTTAGACTCATAAAACCACCATAATCAGAGAGCCCATCCAGGCTGTCGCCTCCACAAAACACTTTACAGCAGTGGTTTTCAATCTTTTCTCATTTGCAGACCCCTAAAAAATTGCAAATGGTGGTACAGACTGTTTTAGAACTCTTAGGCACAGTCTGCGGACCCCCCGGGATCCCCGGACCACAGGTTGGAAACCATGGCTTTACAGTACTAGGACCGAATTCAGGAAAGCACTTCAGCAAGCACGTGCATAGATATTTTCCTGAATAAGAAGCTTTCCTAAATGAGGATCGAAGGTGTCTATCACACATTACACTTGGCCTTAGCTAAAATAAGAGTCCCAGGTAGGTTTTTGTTTGCTTTTTCCCATTCTATAATGTATTTTAGAAGCAGAATAGTGATTTGATTTTAGCGTGGTATAGCAGAAAAGTTGGTGACCCAGACTGTATTCATGCCAGCTGTGGTTCAAATAATGATGAAGAATGAAGAGCATAAGCATCATTCTGTCAGCCTCCCTATAAAGAGAAATGTACCATGCCTAACACCTTATGCAAAAAGCATATCATATTTAATTTCATGAATACTTTAAAATAAATTCCTTTTTAAACTAACCAGTGATCACTGTGTCTTGTATCCTGTCTGCAACTCATTCATGTACTCAGTCTTTAAAGCTCAGTTTGTAAAGCTAAAATGTGATGATTTAAGAGATAGGGCATTAAGGCAATGGGGAACTTAAAAACCATTAAAACATTATTTGTTCTATAGGGATTACTTATTACACATTCAATTTAGTCAACCATGTCTGCTGAGAGGCACACAAATCCCACCATAGCTAATTTAAGAACTTACCAATTTCCCTTGCAATTCTGACAGCTTCATCTGCATCCTGTAAAAGCAGGAAATGAGACCTAACATTAATCCCATCAGCCATTGCACTATGTCCTTAGGGCAGTCATATATTGCACTACTGTCTCCTCTGATTCATTTAATGTTTGATTTTACAACCTTCTGACCCTTTTCAGTCAGAGGAATGTAAAATTAATACCATAAGTGGAATGTAAATTCTACCTCATCATTATTATACTGAGAAACTCAAAGCGGGAAGCAATCAGCTGACAGGAAGCACTCCCAGAATCTCAAAATGATTTTCTGCAGTTCAAGGAATTTAAATGGTAGAATTTAGAAGTTTACAATCAATAATGGATCATAAATCAGATCATTAAAGCTTGTCCATTCCCAGCTTGTTTCTGTCCTCAGTTGTTTGTGTGTCATGTTTTTCCAGATGCTGTCAGCAGGGGGAGTGGATTCTCTATTGTTTGGATAAGATTCAGATTCAGATTCAGAATGAATCTTACAGAACTTCTTTAAGAACTAAATCTTGCAGTCCTTATTCAGGCAAAATTCACATCAACTTCAGTTTTGCAGTTTTTAGCCTCATGACAGATGCTTTAATGTAACTTGTTAGGGTTTTGAACTGTGGTCTGAAATGCATAAATTCAAATAATGGTTTCCATGATGATCAAAAACAGTTTGTAAGATACTATTAATTAGCAAAGTTCTTTTGTTGTCACCATCTATATTGCATCAGCTGACTCATACTATGGAAAGGAAAGTATCAGGGGGTAGCCGTGTTAGTCTGTATCCACAACATGGAGTGGGGGGGGAGGGGGGCAAGGAAAGGAAAAGTGTAATGGAGTGTGTGTGAGAGGGAAGCCGGGGAAGTAAAATGATTCTCCCAAGGTACTTTCAGCACAGGTTCACTTGTAACAGCCTAAGTTTCTATCTCATTCAGTAGTTTAATTCCACATCCCTTCACCTACAACAATATATTTCCATCATGATACTGTAAAAAAGAAAAATGTTTATATGATCGTGGCATGGGTTAAATCTGAAAATTCCATCCAAATTTGCTAATATTTATACTATTCTGTGACATATATTAAAAGATTTGAATGGAAGGCAGTAATGTCTGGAAACCACCAGCTGCTAAGTGCGTCTGAAGCTTAAGGGGTTGACTTATTAACATTAAAATGAAATTCAATATTTTTAAAGCTTTCAAGGCAATTCGTTTTAAAAGCACCCAGGTCAGAATTTTTTTTAAATACATACAAAATGTTCATACCTGGTTCATTTATGCCCAATAATAAAACAAAATCCTCTTTAAAAGTCTTCAGTACCTAGTAACAACCCCATGAAGAATAAGGAGGCTGGCAGGGGAAGTTGTCAGAAAATTTAATTTCCTTTCATTAGCTAGTCTGCTCCACAAATCGGTGCTTGTTAAGTTCAAAGCAGTCCTGAAAGCTACATCAGTTTTAAGTCTTTTTACTCCAAGCAGTCACATCTGTTAATGAGATTTTTCCAAATAACAATTGTTTTTAAGTCAGAGATAAATCTACAAAATAAAATCAAGGTTTACTGTTTTATTACACCTTGCTGCTTTCCATGACCCTGCACTCTCCAAATTTTAGCTTAAAGGGATAAAAATGCATGAAAAGGGTCATTTAAGAATGTTAGTGGTTTCCACACATTGAGTTTGAAGGTTCTTTGTTCCTGCCTGTGACAGTTATGCGAGAATACTTCCCCTTAATAGCCTCTCTGTCAGGAAGTGTTAAACCTGCCAAATGCAGACAATTAGAGCCTCTTGAACAAAATGCAGGAAGAGTGATGACTGATGAAGAGCCACGATTATAGTCAAGAAGGAAACTTTTACATTTCTTTTCTCTTGCAAATTCAGTCATATATTTGCAAAATAGAATTGGGAGAGGGGGAAGCAAATAGGATAAATTTTTTCACTTAGTTACCTGCAAACAAGTGGCTAATGTATATTGCAAGTTCAAAGAAAAACAAGCAGCAAATCACTGGAAGACAACTTTGCAGAGACATGATTGTTTTATATATACAGTCAACAATTTTAAAGAATAAATAGTGCAATATGAGGAGCATCGCATTAATTGCCTCAAATCATTTTATCCTGAAAAACAGTGAGGGGAACAGATTTAAGAAGTCTACCAGCAAGGATATCACTTATTTACACTATTTTAACATCAATTTAGTTAACAGTTGTAATGTATTAAAATTAAAAGAGCTTCACAATAGCAATTCAACGCATATTCAAATTTTTTAGCTTTCAAAGTCTGCTTTAGAAACAGAAGATATTGTTTGTTTGTTTTAGAATTCTAAAAAGAGAGAGGAGATGGAAACTGTTTGGAAAAATGCATAAACAACTAGCATAATCCAGTCTCTAACAACTGCCTTTTGATCTCTTTCCCTGAAACAGTAAATTTTAATACAGTGCATTTTATTTGAGCATTACATAAATATGGCAAGTGTCCAAGTTCTAATAAAAATTTAAGGCAGTTATTTTTAGATTATTGGTGCTGAGTAGTTCTGACAGACACTGCATAGTTGCCATGGGAAAAAAAAATCAGTATCACAAATAAGGTATTACCCAATGCATAAGATCATGTGTGGAAAATATACAAAGAAAACATGAGTATTAAAAAAATATTTAAAAATATTTTAATGAATTTCATCTTTTGCAAAGGTTTCATTGGTGTACTGTTGTTTCCTGTAAATACACATAAGCTACACTAGTTTTTGTTTAAAACAGATTAATTATAAAAAAACTATACAATTCTAGCATATTATTTTATGTTATTACATTTTTTACTAGTTTGGACAATTAATAAAAAAAGTGATATAAAAGTCACATTAACGATTATGTTTTTACTAATGGCTGAGTTCACCATGGTTAAGTTAAAAGGGCATTAAAAAGTCATTTTTGTTAAATTAAATAGAAATTTCTTACGTGTTCATTTGGTTTAAATTCTTCTTTCCCAGGTACCAGCAAATGGAGACAGGACAAAAGTAGAACTACTGTGATGAAGTGGATTGACTAGCTGAACTAGTTGAGAGACTTTGGGAGCTATACAATTTTTATTACTTAGGAATAACTACATCGTATTTTTCAGGGACGGCAATGTTTGGTGGTGTAGAGGAACTTGGAAAATCTAAACTAATAGGTAAGCAGTTACTAACGTCCAATATTTATTTTGCGAGAGGTTTAGGGGGCATTTTAACATCACTACCCAGCTCAAAAACATACTGAAATGGCTATGTAGGAAAAAACCAAAACAAACCAAAAAATCTTCACCCCACTGAAATCTATGTCAAAACTCCCATTGATTTCAGAGGGGAGAGGATTTCATCTACAGATATTAACCTACTGGACCCACATTCAGCATTGCGGCACTTGCTGTACAAGTAAACTGGACACTATCCAGCAATAAAAACTTTTCTCCACTATCTTCCCCACTCCCACCTTTCACTACAGCCTCTTTCCTCCTCCCCACTACCCAGTTTGTCCCTCACATTTCTTTAACCTGTAAAATCTTGCCTTCTGTCACTTTCCCCACTGCGAGAAACCCACATACACTTCATCACCACTCAGTTTGGTCATTGCTCACCTTGATTATTATTGTAACCTTTTTCTTTAGCCTCTCTGCTTCTCACCTCTCCCATTTAATGCCATCTATTCACTACAGAGACTATACCAGCAAAGCTACAGCACCACAGGATTCTTCTGGTAGCATAACTGCGTCTACACTGGGGGTTAGGTCAGCATAGCTATGTCGCTCAGTGGTGTGGGTTTTTCATGCTCCTGGAAGATTTAGCTATGTTGACCTAAATTTTAAGATGTAGACCAGGCCCCAGTCTAACCAAAATACCTGCTGAAGTCCTCATGTTCTCAAACCGATGCCCCACAACCTTGAATATCCCCTACGGACTCCCTTTATCTTACTGTATCAGATTCAAGCTCCTCATCTTCTTGTATAATCCTGCTCTCACCCACAGCTGTGCTCTTATTTTCTCTTACTCCACAACTCACTTTCACTGCTTCTTCCAATACTCTATCTTCAATGATCCCTTCATCTCCCTCTTCCACTCTTGACTTCAGACCTTCATTTATGCTGATCACTCCCCTGGGAACAGGCTCCCATCTCTTGTATGCCAGGCACCCTCTTCTTCCATTTTTCAAAACTCTTCTTAAAGACGAATCCTTGAAAGAATCCTTTCTACTATACAGTACTTTGTTCTCCTGGCCTATAACCTCTCCACAGCCTCTCCTACCTGAACTGTTGTGCTGTGTTTAGACCTTTATTTGTCTCATATCTTAAATCAGTGATTTTTCAACCTTTTTTCGTTTGCGGGCCCCTAAAAAATTTCTAATGGCGGTGCGGATCCCTTTGGAAATCTTAGGCATAGTCTACAGACGCCCTTGGGTCCATGGGCCCCAGGTTGAAAACCGCTATCTTAAATGATAAGCTATTTGAGGAAGGGGACATGTTCTACTCTAGATTTGTAAAGCACCCTGTACATTTCGCAGCACTGTTTAAATGACAATTAACAAACAGACAGCTCTTCACTCTGAGCAATGTAGTCTTCCTTAATGTAGTCTTGAACTGAACAAGACAGTGAAGCACTGTCCTGGAAATGGCCCACCTGATGATCACTTTAGATAAGCTATTACCAGCAGGACAGTGGGGTGGGAAGAGGTATTATTTCATATTCTCTGTGTATATATAAAGTCTGCTGCAGTTTCCACGGTACGCATCCGATGAAGTGAGCTGTAGCTCACGAAAGCTCATGCTCAAATAAATTGGTTAGTCTCTAAGGTGCCACAAGTACTCCTTTTCTTTTTGTCTTTCTTATGCCTTTTTGTCCACCAAAAAACAACAACCCTCGTCTGTCTTTCTAACTTGTGAAGTGATCTTTACAGTATCATGCAAAGCTCTCTTCACACAAAGAGTGTGAAGGCATTTTTCTTTCCAAATGGAAAGAGGAAGTCATCTTGGTAAGTAAAAAGGAGAACAGATTTAGGCACAAAGGGGAGTTAGGCATCCAACTCCCAATGACTTTCAGTGGAATTAGAGAACATAAAAGCCCTTTGTGTCTTTAAAAATCCCACTCCTCATGACTACCTTGTCCTGATGAAGAGTCAGGTAGGGATTCAAACACAAAAGAGCCTGAAGGCTTTCCTGCTCACTGGCCAAGTGGATGGCCACTAGAAAGGCAGAAATGCAAAGTTAAAAACAAGTCTGAGACCCAAACACCATGCTTTTAGCTCCTCATCCCCTCCCTTGCATGCAGCTCCTGTGATAGTATCCACTGAGCGCCTCACTGCCTTGCCCCTCACTTCCTGGCTGAATTGGCAAACGGAATGCAGAGCTGTTCCTCACACTAGCTGACTGATCAAGAAAACTGTCTACCAGGGACTAAACGCCCTGTAACACTTCGGGATCCAAGTGGATACCACAATAAACAGGTTCACATCTGTTGTGATTCCTTCCAATCAGGGATTCAAGGGCAATCACAGGCAGATATTCTCATCCTACTTTGGTTGATTGGGTACTTCCCATGGGTCTAAGTATATAAAAAGAAAAGGAGTACTTGTGGCACCTTAGAGGCTAACCAATTTATTTGAGCATAAGCTTTTGTGAGCTACAGCTCACTTCATCAGCTGTAGCTCACGAAAGCTGATGCTCAAATAAATTGGTTAGTCTCTAAGGTGCCACAAGTACTCCTTTTCTTTTTGCGAATACAGACTAACACGGCTGTTCCTCTACGTATATAGTGTCTCAGGCTTTTCCAGTCAAGTCAACCTCTCTTCTGTTCAAGTCTTTATTTCATGTGGAAGCAGTGTTGTCTAATAAGCATCTCTACAGGTTGTTTCTGATATCCAGGAATCTCACAAGGATCAAACAGAAACAATTTTCCTTTCTCCCCAGAAGGTAGGAAATGTAACCTGATTAGTGAGTTTTGTTTTACGAGGATTTGGGGGGCAGGGGTGGCAGAAGTTTTCAGGGACACTGCTCTTCATTCAAGTAGGTGCTGATCCCATCCAAACATTGAGGGCTGGGAGATGGCATTGTTTATATTTGGCATAAAGGTCACATGCAGCTGCCTGTCATCCACATACTAATACAAACATATCACTAGTGATCCTCTTTCCATTCATTTTTTCAGGTTCTGGAAGTTTCTGAGCTAGTTTTCCAAAAAACATTGCAACCACAGGCCTCAGGCATAACTACATATAGTCAGTTATTTTCCCCCCATTAGTTTTATTAGTTGTGTCATTAGTGTTTACTAACCACTTATCCTGATTTTGTAGGCTTGATATTTTACAATAGCATAAAACAACCAGTACCTAAAAACATTAATGCTGTGTCTACACTGTGCCGCTAAAATGAGCGTAGTGTAGCTGCTGTCTGTCGGCTCTCCTGCCAACAAGAAACTCCCATCCCCAATGAGCAGTGTTAGCCTTATCAGCAGGAGTGCTCTTCACATTTAGTGCTGTTCACACTGGTGCTTGTCATCGACAAAACATTCATCTTTCGGGGGTGGGGGTTTCCAACACCTCTGAACGACACAAGTTTTGTCTTTCACTTGCCACTGTGGACATAGCCAAACAAAACAACTGTATGATAATTTTTAATATAAAGTGTTCCATAAACATTTGATCGTTTCATGTATAAAATAAAAGCTATTTATGAATATTCAACTCCATGAGCCCCACTTATCAGATTTTTTTCCAGTTGCAGTCCCTACTTGCCCTTAGGATTGTTAGAATGAGGGACAAGTTACCAGGAAGAGCGGAGCTCAGCTGGGTAACAGCTAGACTGTTGCTAAGTCTTCCAAACCTTGTATGGAGCCGTTGCTGAAAGACAGGATATAGAATCCTGCAATGGATCCAAGATGACCTGTTACTGATGCAACATCTCAGCATTCCAAACAACATTAGCACTGCACCAGCAGAGAGCACACCAGTGTAGATAGTGGCTTTATAAAGGTTTGATCCAAGGCAGTGTACTCTCATGGATGGTAATGCCATTGTGAAATGCCTGTGAACACTTATTTGAGAACACAAATGAGTCCTTCAGACATCGCAGGCCCCAGGCGTTTCCATCACCAGCACTAGCAATGTTATTTTGCCTAGTGTATGCAGATCCACAGTGACTAGCATCCAGCGTCCAGTCATTATCTAGGTCACTCTCAGGCCAATTCAAAGAGGCAGCCACATAGGCAAAAATGGTTTTGTAAAGCTGTGGGGAAAGCATAATGGAAGCAAAGCTACCTGTGTAAAACCCAGGCTGGCTTCTGTTGCTGCAGGAAAAACTAGATTTAGGCTGTTTCTACACTGCCACTTTCAGAGCTAAAACTTTAGTCGTTCAGGGGTGTGAAAAAACACCTTGTGAAGTGACAAAAGTTTTAGCACTGAAAAGTGCCAGTATAGACAGTGCTTTATAGCCAGGAGCCATGCTCCCAGAAATAAAGCTACCACCGCTCGTTCAGGGTGGGGGGGGTTTGCTGTTGGTTTGTTTTTAATCGCCAAGAGAGCTCTCCCCTGGCGATAAACCGTGTCTACACTGCCCACATCACAGCACTGCCATGGCCACGCTGTAACATGGGCAGTGTAGACATACCCTTAGTGAAAACGCAGAACTTGGAGGTGAAGGACTACCTCTGCTCCCAGCTCCATAGAATATGTTCTTTCAATTTCTCCCTGCATCACGTCCTCTCTACCTCCCTCTCTCTCATTAATCTCTCTGTCACTCATTCCTTCCAGCAAAAAACCCCAGAAGGGTTTAATACTGGTTAACTGACATGATGCTGAACACTATGTGTCTTGGTCTGTGCAGATCACTAAGCGTTTGTCTACGGGGGAAAAGCCCAGAATAGCTAGTACGGTATAGCTATCAGTGAGTATTCCGTACCATCTCCTTGTGTGGATGCACTTATTTTGTGCAAATAATACTTTTGTGCAGTTTAGCTTAATCCATTTTGGATGAGGATTAACACCATAAAAAGGGACTCTTGAACTTTAAATTCCCACCCTAGATATTTTGCACTAAATTCCCCATGTAAACAAGCCCTAAATCATGGTCAGCATTGTGTCAAGAAATTCATTTGTTCACAATCATCTTCAAAACACAACAATATTTCATAATGTACACAAGCCTTATGAGGACCAGGTCAATGCCAAGTGTCAAGATTATAAACTTCAGCTGTTTTTGGCTTCCGCTAAATTAAAAAAATATTGATCAGAATTTTTTTTAAATGGGAAATATATTTCCCCCTTTTCCCATAACAAAAACAGATGAAGGGATATTTGCTCACAATTACCCCAAAAATTCAACTTGAAGACCAACCATGAGAAATTTCACCCCAAAAGGTGAAAGTTTCAACAAGTTTTCAGCATGTGAAAACAATTTTGTATTATAACCCCGTTATGTAGCCTATTCACAGAAACACACAAAGGCAGAAAAACAGAAGACCAACATCACAATATGTCAAAGGAGAGATGAAATCAAAACATTTTCTGTTTCACTGTACGAGACACAGAAACACAGCTAAGATGGTGGAACAACCTATGGGAAATAGTGTAAGAATTCCTACTAAAAGCAAGGAAGAAACACTGCTTATAAGTCTGGAAGAAAAGGAAGAGCTTTTTTATAGAAACAGTCTCATAATATAAGGTAGTCTACAACTGACTTAGTACTGGGGAGAAATACAAAATACACATGGTGTATCAAACGCCACTGCGAAACCTGTGCTGCCCACAAATACTTAACATATTAACTTTGGCAACACTTTACCTAGGTCATGCCAATAAAGTTAATACAACTGGAGGAAAATGAAGGAAGAAAAACACACATCAAGGTATATATGCATACACGCACGCACACACACAACCACCAAACTACATCTGGTGTATTAAACTCATATTCCCCGGTCTTAACTATCTCAAATGTAATTTAAAACGTGAGATGTTTTGAGGAACCACACTTCATATGCCGTCCATGGCATCCTGCTTAATATTTGACAATTCATTCTATTCTTCCAATAGCTCTTCCTCTTCAGAAGCATTTTTGCCATTGAAAATATCAGGACAATGACATTTTTCATTGGATCTTCTACTGAAGTTGGAATATTGAATTTATAATTGCATCCTATATCACACCTCTGAAGAGAGTGGTACTTTTATTTAAACAATGTCAGATCCCATAGAGGAGAGACAGCAGTTAAACAGTTTCTCACCTTGACCACTCCATCAAAGCCAGGGATTGTGTTGACCTTTGCATTCTTGGCTAATAATTTGCTTTCAATCTTGTCTCCCATAGCTTGAATAGCATGTGTGTCAGGTCCAATAAAGGTGACACCTTCTGATGCCTGTGGAGACAATGAAGGTTTAAATTAAAAACAAAACAAAACAAAAGAAAACATCCTTAAGCAGGAGTTCATTATGGGTTTACACAAGAAAAATCTAAATTTCTTAATGAAACTTTATTTGGAAAATAATATATTTATGAAGAAACATAACTAAAAGGGAAGAAGCATTTGAGCTGGTACATTAAAAATGTATATGGACTTGTTAAACATGCATACACACAGATTCAAAGCCCCTATAATCTGTGTCTGTATAAATCAAAGCCAGGCCAAAGAAAACAGCAGAAAGTCAAAGTATTCCAGCTTGAAAATTAGAAATATCCCTTGAGTGAGAGGAGTCCAGTTAACCAACGATCGAAATAGCCAAAAGTGACTTATAAAGATTGCTTACTAAAGTATAATACAGTTCGGGATTTCATTATGCATTCTTTAAACCAAAGCCTTATCCAACATCAAAATGAAAGTATAAAGTCTTTTATTTAACATTTTAAAAAACTTTGAAGACTGAACTTAAAAAATATTGAAAATACTGCAATATGGAAAATATAATATTTGCATGCATCCTTCAGACAAGTGAAATCTTACAAATGTGGTTTTCCACATTCAGCTGGATGTAGGGTAGCATAAAAATTAATTCATGCTACTAGTATTAAAATATGATTTTTCCTCATTTATCCCCTATGATGCTAGCCAACAAAATTGGGTTTTCTTAAGTGAAAAATGTACCTTTCATAACAGTTTCTTAGCATCCTCTATTTAAGGATAATATTATGCAGTTCCACTGGCAATGCCATTATAATCACCTTTGGTGAAAGTAACTACTTTACACTATGTTTGTGCGCATACACAGAAAAGGAAAAAGCTTGTGTGTCCTTTGTACTCAAAAATTAGAGCCAGAACAATTACATTATTAAGATATTTAAAATTTTATATGGGGATCAAAGGAGGATTAAGGTTAACCATCAAAAGAGTAGTCATGCCAGACTGTAGGGCTTTTCCCATTGGCTTGATTTAAAAGAGAAGAGCCTCTCTCTACTTGAATAATCAGTTAAGCAGCAAAAGTTAACCACCACAACTGAAAGTGTTGAGGAAGGACAGCTTACTGAATACCAATATTTTCACAGTTGCCATTTAACACTGATACTATTTTGAAGTTCAGAATTTGTGCTTTAAAATTTGTGGAATGACCCAGATTGGCCACCATCAACACTGCCACAGTAATGAATAATCATTATAAGGAATAATCAAATGCTTATTAATATTTTTAAAGCAACTATTTGTACTTATACCAGTTTGTAAAGGCTGTTGGACATCTGTATACTTGGATACTCTGTGAGGTGTGTTGAATCACATGTGCCCTATAATAAATGCTTAAGGTATAAACATATACACATGTGTATATTATAACCCTGACCAACGCTCATCTCACTGACCACCAACTAAGTATAAAGGCCTCCTCATGTCACCCACAGGTTATCAAAGTACGACTCTACACCCCAAGCCTCAGTCATGGTGCCAGGCCTAACATTCCCACGTCCACTATAGGGGACTAAAAACGATTGGAAAATAAAATCTGTCCAGACTAAGTGCAGACTAAGGGACAGATGGGGTGTGAATATATAGATGGAAAAGTAAGGTGGCCACATCACAGTGTTTAGCCCACTGGGCCATCTTCAGTCCAAGCATCATGCTTTTCCGGGATGATGGGTAAACATCCTCCCCGTAAAAAGACAAAAAAATGGGAGAATTTAGTAGGAAGAGAGCCTAAGTCATAACCCCTTGTATCAGAGGCCAGGTATGAGGCAGGACCTACTCACAGAATCTGGCAAGAACAGGGCTGATATTGCAGAAAAATAATAAGTGCTAGTCACAGAGTACTCATGCAAACACATCCAGATATCAAGTGGTACCAGAACATTCCAATATCAAGGATAGTACAAAAACATTCCCCAAGGATAACAGGAACACACTGACCCCTCCTAAAAAATAAGGTTAGGATGACAGTATGTAATAAAGATGTTTTGATCAAACCAACATGTACAAGGTGATGGATAACTAGCCATGTCATGGGGCAGTAACTTACTATGTTAGAGGAGCAGTACTAACTTGTTTGTATCAGAGGGAGTATTTCTGGCTGGCCTAGGGAGGAACGGAAAGTCCCACCATTCACCGAGCTGGTCCATTGTTATGGGCATACATGTATTAGTGATCTGGTAGAGGCTGAGGGATAATAGTACTTTGCTTCATCGACAATAAACCTGGGCTGGTGCCTTCATGCCTTAACGGATTTTGTGGACACTGAGTGATTCACTCAAGGTCTGCCATGCCAGCTGTCTGCTTAGGGCTAGGGCAGCACACAGAGGGCACACACACAGAGCCAAACATCTATCAACATCTAACTACAAAGTTAAAGTTAATTTTATGTGTGGGATGTATGGGCATGTTGGGTTGCCACCTATTTATCTTATCCTTTCAAGACAATGTAATCATTTATTATTATTATGGCTGATGTCACAGTAGCTATGTCTTCACATTTTATTGATGTGTCAATAAAGAACAAACAATTGATATAAACACCAAAATATGAAAAATGCAATGTCACGATGTTGCAAAATAACAATCAATGTGCATTATTTGTTATAAAATGGTCTCTTTGGGATTGCTTAGAATGCAGAGATGGTAAAATGTTCTCACTGAAATGAAATAAACAGTTGATCTTAGGGATGAGCACCAGGAAGAAAGGGGGTGTTCTGAACATCAACCACTTTGTTCAGAAAAAAAATTCAGATATAGTCTGAATTGAGGGCCACTAAAAAGGCTATTTTAAGAGAGTCAAGTAATGGATAATGCTAAGGGGCTTGTTGGAGTGGTTATAGAATGGTTTAATGAGAACCTGCAACATTAAATTGAGATTTGGTTTCAGAAGAAGTCAGTTTAGGGCTTAAGTCTTTAAATAGATTTAAGGAAATAGACAACATGAACGTAAACAGATAAAAACAACCCTGTTTTCTGTTCTTTCTGCTCCTTTTGCCTCCCCCCACCGATGGGGGGGGAAGGGGGGAGGCAAAAGGAGCAGCTGTCCTGGGCCCTTTAAATTGCTGCTGGAGCCCCGGGCAGCATGGGCCAGGCAGCGCTGATGGGCTGGCTAGGGGACACTGACTCCCCAAGCCCCGCCCCTTCCACCCAAGGCCCCACCCCTTCCAGGGGCCAGAGCCAGCCCCCATACCAGTAAGTGTTAAATGTTACTTTCACCCCTGGGAAGGTGGGAGGGATGAGGAAGAAAGGAAAAAAGCTAAAAAAAGAGAAGGAGCAGAAAAAGTGATGAAGAAAAGAATTTCACCTAGAAGTGTAGAGAAAAGCATTACGGACTCAGTTCTACAAGGAGCTGAGTATTGTGACCCCAATTCAGCAAAGTATTTAAGCACGTAAGTAGTCACACTGACTTGGGACAAATCACAGGCTTAAAGTTAAGCTCATGCGTAAATGTTTACTGGATCTGAGCCAGAGTTTAGCAGCTCACAGGATCAAACTCTGAATACTTCTCCATAAGAAGACATCATGAACGGGATCCTATGGCCAGGCCACTTCTCACTGTGCTGCACAGAGTCCACAGTTACAACAAATAAAACTTCTGTGCTGCCTTTTTGTCCTCTAATGCAAGCAGGGCTACCAAGGAAGAACAGATTCTAGATGAGTCCACTTTAGGACTTCCAGAATAAACCTACGTTCTACACTTGCAGGAGATATGACAGACTCACAACATTCCTACACCTTGAGTTCAAGAAAGTTAAAGTACCTGCATAAATAAAGAAATAAAAAACCATGGGTTTTAAAAAAAAAAACCTTAAATTATCTTCAAAAGTAGAGTTTAAAACTTGTGCTTTCTAAAAATAAGAGGGGAAAAATCTCCCTTTCGACACATGCACCAACTCACTGTCCTGTGCATCTGACAACTCAAAATCTTTGTCCTCCCATAAAACTACTCTAAAAATCTCAACAGAAGACAGAAAAGCACCACCTGTTTTTCATTCCCCTAGTCTAGCTACAGTGGGTCACTTCCCCATCTAGTTCTTTCCAATTGCCTAAATTATTCACTATAAAGTGTGTCAAGATCACACAAAATGTGGGACTCTGCACATTGTGTTCTGCAACACACCTATGAAACTGCAAAAAGTTCAACAAATACCCAAACTAAGTTGCCAAAAAGCAGACCAAATCCTTTTCAGCTGATATGTCAAACTCCTGTTATACTAAATATCAAGGACAGCTTCCAACTTTTCTCTTTCCCACATACGTATTAAAAAATATATTCAAAACTTGAAGACTTATTGAACACCAACGCTTGCGACGTTTCCACTTTGCATTTACACTGTTACATTCAGGTCTCACCATAAATTCAGCATAACATGCATCTGCATTTTGTTCAGAAATATAATGGTCATGTACCCAATGATAAAGTTTTGTCAGTTGTTTCCTGTATACCCAAAAGCAAACTACAACAAGAGGAATTTTGGTGGTTCTACTTTTGTAAAGAGCAAATTTATAATTAGGGCTATCAAGAGATTAAAAAAAACCTTAATTGCGATTAATTGCACAATTAAAAAAATAAACCGCAATTAATTGCACTGTTAAACAATAATAGAATACCATTTATTTAAATATTTTTGGATGTTTTCTACATTTTCAAATATATTGGTTTCAGTTACAACACAGAATACAAAGTGTACAGTGCTCACTTTATTTTTTATTAAATATTTGCACTGTAAAAAACAAAAGAAATAGTATTTTCAATTCACCTAATATAAGTAATGTAGTGCAATCTCTTTATCATGAAAGCTGAACTTACAAATGTTGAATTATGTACAAAAAAATAACTGCATTCAAAAATAAAACAAAGTCCACTCAGTCCTACTTCAGCCAATTGCCCAGACAAACAAGTTTGGTTACATTTGCAGGCGATAATGCAGACTGCTTTTTCTTTACAACATCACCCAAAAGTGAGA